TAATTTTATTTTTATCTGTGCTTGTTTTCCCAAAGATGTAAAACTTATCTTTGCTAACCGGCAGGGAAGAACAAGTAAAACATCTTGACTGATTTCTTGATATATTCGGATGAGTTTTAACGGTTTTACTAGGAAGTTTGGCGCAAACAAAATATCAACTTTCATTACGCTGCATCTCATTGGCTTAGCGGTAACAGCGGGAGTAGACTGTCATGGTATGTGGTTGGTTAATTCAAATAGACCCCCAAGAAGGAAAAAGACAAAGGGAAACGATCAAAGCTCGGATTGTAGCAGCCATTTGTGGCGCGGGGGACAGGGAGCCCGCCACTAAGAACGGCTGCGAGGAGACTAGATGAAAATCGAGTACAAGAAATGTATGTAATATATACAATATGAGCGGGCGATCTGTATGTAATATACAACTCTCTTCATGGGCTATGATTTCTAAGTATGATAACATACTTCTTATGATCAATGACAGAGAAAGTATTGTAGAGACTCATACCTTGATATTTCTAAACACTTGACATTAATAGAAATGAAAGTTGTATATCCCTCTTCCCTGACCCTCGATCGAARCCTCGAACATCATTCAAAACAATGACCGCTTTCTTTGTGAAATATTTGCAATAATCGGCACTCGTTATTGAAGCACTATTAAAATTTTGTGTATCTTTGAAGTTCTTGTTTCCGTCAGCCATTATCGAAGGGAAAATTCCTTCCGTCACGTGATTTCATAGTCCAATTATAAGTGTTGGAAAACAATTGTTTTATTGACGGGTCAAGAACTGATTTAAAGTAAGCTCCGCCCCAGATGGCTCGGAATTTCTGGCAATGGAGGGTTGTCACGTTGTGATTTGTTGTTAACACTGGAGCATCGTTCTGCGATCCTCCTACGTTTGCTGACGATAAAGTTATGTTGGATGCTTTTGGTAGCCAAGAGACGTGGTGCACTTTTTTTTTGTAAAAGTCGACTTCTGCCCCATTAAGGATTCTAAGAAATGTTTCCAAACGGGAGTTGTTTATGGGATCACGTGCCCAAAATGTCACTCTGAATACATTGGCAGTACCATTTGAGAGAACRCATCGACGAAAATTCGTCGGTAGCAAGCCACCTAGTTAATGTTTGCAAAAACAACTTCATCAACGTCAACATCGTCATAAGATCCCGCTTGATTGTTTTCGATTCATATAAAGTCGCTGCATTGACAGGATAATTAGTAATACCACGAGCTAAAATTCAACTAATATTGGCATCATTTTAACACTATACAGGGTCTTTTGAGAGTCTTTACTGGATTAGGCTTTATTGTTGGACCGGTTATCGGTGGAGGATTATATTCGGTATGTATTCAATTTGTTTTAGTTCTTCATCAGTCTTCGTTGTACATTTGATTTCACATTTGATTTCTGACTAAATTGCACACCACTCAGTTCAATTACCACTTTATTATATCCATTTTGGAATCATTTCGTAAAGACTAGATTTGTACTTAATACGGTGAATTTGGTGACTCTCCTGCCTCAGCTACCTCTGTTAAAAGCAAAAGATTTACAGAGCTGTCTTTTTCAAATACTTCTGCTTGAATGGAGCTTGAAGCGTGTAGCTGTTGTGTAGTGGCTCTGTAGGGCTCTGTATGCCTAGAACGAGTAATAGGTCTACACGACTCCACATCTTCTTGTCTTTCTTGATATCATCTTTTAGCKTTTACTTCCTTCGTCCATTTGAAAACACTGGGAACATCGTCTTTTCCATCTTTTCACCTCTTTCAAAGTGGTCGCTGCATATTCGAGGGATGGACATTAACAGGAATTCTTTCACATCTAATGCACTAAACAATTGAAACCCCCGGCCCCCGGGACTAGCGGGGCACTGAACGGGGATGTGACGCGTTTTTAACGTACTTTTAATAGCGAGATTGTCCCGGTGGGTCGGGATTTTGATGAATTGTTTTCGAAGCGGGTCGAAGAGCAGGGGTAGAGGTCGTCCATCTTGAAAAATACCCTGAAAGCATTGATATTCAACTTTTTTTTGCATTTGTTTATTTTTCCTTGCATGAAAAGTTAAAAGAAACTTATTGCACATTTTAACTCCGAGCAGTTAGGCTCATGTAGTGCGCAAATGACTATACGGGGTTATACAAAAATTAACCCCGTGTATCACAGAAAAATTTGTTGAGTTGGATTGAAAGTTGTTGGAAATTGAACGCATA